CCCCAAAACCCCAAAACCCCAAAACCCCAAAACCCCACCCAAGAGTAAAAATATTGAATCTAATCTTGATTGGGCAATTCATTAAAGTGAGATTCAGACATAATTTTACTATTCAAGAAGAGCAAGAGAGGCGATGACTCCTGCGCCAAATAAGAAAGCAAACATTTTTGGCCATTTAAACTTGGGAATTGAGAACTCCTCAACAATGACTTCTGAACAAGCGATGTAGATAAATGTTCCAGCTGCGAGAGAGCTAAAAATAATTTCAGCAATTTCAGATGAACCTTCAACTATCATTCCAAGTAAAACTCCAAGAGGAGTTGCGAATGCGAAGATGAGTATGAGAATATACATAGTACATTTCTCGTCTTTGAAGTTTCTGCTCATGCTAATACCAAGTGACATAGCAGCCGCCCATTTATGAAGAAAAATGGCTATAATATATGTCCAAACTTGACTAACTTCGTCGACTAATCCGGTGGCGATTCCTTCAAACATGGCATGTGTGCTGAGTGCTATCATCAAAACAACTGGCGTTAGGCTACAGCTGCACCTACTTTTCTTTGTTTCTTTGCATTCTTCCTCATTAAGAAGCAGTCTATCAAGATCAGAGGAGGGTTCCTCAAGCTTATCAAGTTCTTGAGTAAAAGATTTACTGTATCTATCCTTCTTTGAATTGGGATGTTTTAAAGCATAATGCATTCTTACTGAGAACTTATCATTTCTGGATAAATAAGCCCTAATATCTTCGTCAAGCAATTCTGCTTTTCGAATGCACGCCGGGTCTAAGTGACTATCTCTAGGGATTAACTTTTCGTTAAGATGAGCTCTCACATTTTCAGCTAAAAGTTCAGCAGCAGGGTCATGAACATGGCCTTGATGATTGTCTCCGATGAGGGAATGTGTATCAAAAATTACTTTATCGATGAGAAGGATGAAAGCATAACCAACAAAAGCAAGTGTGTGAGGAAGAGGAAATGGTTCACCACTCTCCTCTCCATCAACATCAGCATTTTGGCCAAGCTCTTTAGGGCTTTGCATGTATTCATTATATCCTGACGATGTTTCAGGAAGGATATGCATTAAAGCAATAGCGATGAAAACTCCTCCACTGAAAGCATTTGCGATTCCTAGGATGTTGGTGCTTTTCTTACACCAAGGAATCACATTTGGAAGAATACCTGAAACAAAGGCAAGGATGTAGACAACTACAATGAATGCTATCTTAGCACCAATAAGCGTACTGTTGGCCATTAATTAAAAATTATATTTTCAACTACACTCTGTCATTAAGGGGTTTTGGGGTTTTGGGGTTTTGGGGTTTTGGGGTTTTGGGG